TCTTCATCACTTCAGATATTATAAATATTTCTTCTGTGAAGGAGGGTAAATAACCTTTTTTAAATGGTTGTTTATATATAGATATTCTAACCGTATCACCAAATGAATATTTAGGAGACTTACGAATATTTTTAGGTTTAAATAAATTTTCATAAACTTTCGATTTATTATCTTCTATACTTGCTTCTACAGGAGTCATTTTTATTGATAAGAGTTGTTGTAATTTTTATTTATCTAAAACATCTAACCATTTTTTAGTGTTGTTAGCAGTAAAATATTTCCACATTTTCGTCTTTAGAGTTGTATTAAATCTTTTGACTACTGAGCATTTTATTTCTATATTTTCTGTAGTAAACTAATGAATATTATTATCTTTGAACAACAGTTACGTCACTTTATTAATAAATTCACTTCTTTTATCCGTTTGTAGTTTTTCCGGTTTTCTTTCCTTAAATATTTTAGTAAATGCTTTGGATATTTCTTCACCCGTTTTCTTTTTAATTGGAATAGCCCAAGCGTATTTACTAAATATATCAATAACAGTTAATATATNCATCTAACCATTTTTTAGTGTTGTTAGCAGTAAAATATTTCCACATTTTCGTCTTTAGAGTTGTATTAAATCTTTTGACTACTGAGCATTTTATTTCTATATTTTCTGTAGTAAACTAATGAATATTATTATCTTTGAACAACAGTTACGTCACTTTATTAATAAATTCACTTCTTTTATCCGTTTGTAGTTTTTCCGGTTTTCTTTCCTTAAATATTTTAGTAAATGCTTTGGATATTTCTTCACCCGTTTTCTTTTTAATTGGAATAGCCCAAGCGTATTTACTAAATATATCAATAACAGTTAATATATAATTAGTATTATCATTATATCTCTTTAATTTCTGCATATCCACTAAATCTGCTTGCCATTGATCATCAATGTGAGAAACAAAAGTTGTTGTTCTATTAAATTTTCTTATAATTGGTTTATGTTCAGTATATTCATCCTGTTGATGTAAAAATTCTTTAATATCTTTTCTTAGTAAACCAGTCTTTCTTTAATTCATTTATACTACAGTAACCAGTTTCAGGATTATAATAAACATCTCTGATCGAACTCATAAAAAAAAACAGCTTTTTAGTACCACAAACGGCAAATGTTCCTTTTGCTATAGGTTTATTATTTTTTGTTCTTGTTTCTGTAATATTTGTTTTTATTTTCTTTTTACACTTTAAACAATACATGAGGCTATTTATATTGGGAGAAATTCCAAGGCCGAATCTCTTCTTTGCACAAATGATTGGTTTAACAATTCCTCTATCTATTCTTTCTCTAAGTGAAGGGTTTTCTATAGCATCTAATTCATTTAACATATTTTTATCACAGATTTCATTTCTAGTTTTTGTATCTATTTTTCAAATGACAAATATCATGTCTATATGCAGTTTCATCTACTTTGTTTATTGGTTTACTCCATGACTTGTAGGATAAATCAGGAATTAATCTAGTTTTTCCCCATAATAGTTGAGTTCCCAGACCTGTAAATGAATAGCCAGGTAAATGCATTTCGAATGGTAATCTGTTTATCATATCATTAACAACACCTTTTCCTTTCTTCATTTATTTATTCAAAAATTTATAACCATTCAGTTGTGCTTTCTTTGTATATTTCTCTAATGGAAAATATTTCATATTTTTAATAAAATGTTCTTCTCTCAAATACACGTCAGATTCTAATATTCTCCCAGCTTTGAATAGATTAAATAACTGTTTATAAAATTTAAATGCTTGCTTGTGTTCCTCTTTTCTTTCCGACAGTTTTAACGATTTAGCTATAACTTCAATTATTCAGGCTCCCAAGCTTAATACTGCTAATGGAACTATAACAAACGCAGATAGACCTGAAGCACTAAATATAAATTTTCCGAGTGAAAAAAAAAAACTTTTATTTTATTTACACATTCTCTTCGATAAAGTCAATAAAAAACACACATAGAAAATAGACATATAATTTAAGTACACAAACCCCTCCAATACACATTTCTGTACAATATATATATCATTTATATATATATATATAATTTCTGCTTTTCACAATATATAAAATTATTGAGCTAACTCCAAGTCTTTTTTTTTTTATTTTAGTATAAAAATAACAAGCACTATTTTATCTAACAATAAAATTAAGAATTCTCAAATGTCAGCTGCCGCATTAAAATGACAGGAAAAAGTAAATATCGAATAAAAAAGATTTCGTTACTAGAAGCACAAAGCAGCGTTACTTTTTTTTCGAAGATTATTTTTCACTTTATCGAAAATAGTATACTTAAATAGCAAAACGCGATATTGCTAGGATAATTATTATGGCATTAGATTCAGTTAATAGTTCATCCTACGTAATGCCCTAATTTTAACCGGCAGATAGGAAGAATTGCGAAACTATCAATACTTGCATAGATCAAGGTATGATACTTCCAGGAACTAGCATTATCACTTCATCTGAGCGGAAAAGGCACGTAACGTTCCATCCGAAAACATTTCTTATAATATTTTTTGGTACAACAGGCAATTATTTTTTGATCAACCGACTTAAAAATCGTGACTAATCATAATTTGGCAACCACTCTTAACGTGATCCATCACTTGTTCTTTGAGTTGGCAGATTTGATCCCTCAGTTTGTTAACCACGTTACCCAGTTCACTATTTTCGTTTTTTAGAGCGGCTACTTTACTTTCTAAACGGGTTATTCGTTCGAGTTTCCTTTTCCTGCACTTACTGGCGGCGATCCTATTCCTTTCACGCTTCCTTTCCAGCTTGATCTTCTCCTGGTTTTCCATGTCGATGGGGGAGAGAGGCGGTGTCNTCGGCACGGTTTTCCGCATCGTCTTCTAATTATACACGGGGGAAAAAATCGAGTAAATACAAGTTAGAGAGGAAATTGACCGGAATATCGATAAACGCCACGAGGGGAGGAAACGTCGCTTTTCAAGGTCGTAGTTCATCCGTCAGAGCTTTTATTATTATTATCCCCTTTTAACGCGAAAGTTTAGCGTTTTATTTTTTCCTCGAAAAAAAAAAACGGGTCAAAATCCTTCGATTTAAGATGCACTTCACGATTTCCTCCAGACGGCACTTATCCGAAATGCCGACTCTAATTAGGAGAAAAAAGAAATTCACTTTATAATGCGCATCTTAAAGGCATAATTTTTAATTAGGGAATTTTAATTGCGTTCTTAGAAAATAAAAAAAAAAATGAAATTAATTATCGATTCTGATCGTTTCCCCAACGAAAATCCATTTTGTTCTAACGACGCCGAGTCAGATCCTTCAGCAGTTTTACCTGAAGACAATATTTTTAACGCTTTTTTTAACATTAAAAAAGTAATAATCAGAATTTATTAATTGCTATTAAAAAACGAACCCAATTTGAGTCTTAAAAATCCTTTTATTATTATTATTATTTCTATTACAGTTAAGCTTACTGGTACAAAAAAAAAACAGTTACAGGAAGCATTAAAATTTCTTTTCGATAATTAATGACATTGATGAAACAATTATGTTTTAAGCGTGTTAATATATAAATAAACCGTTTAAAATTTCACTTAAACGGATAAGATCATCATTGTAATTAAAAATGGCGCGTTTAAGAACAAATACCGATGCGCCATTCCCTAATCTAACGTAATAGCATTCATTTTAAGGAAGCGATTTAAAAAGATTTCGGAAAATCCTTCGACTTCACGAAGTTCTTTTAAGGACTTGAAGGGTCCGTGAGTGTTTCTGTGAGTTTCGATAGCCAAAGCTCTCTTCTCTCCAATGAAAGGAAGTGTTTGCAAGTCGGTTTTTGTTCCTTTATTTAAAAACTTTAATATAGCTTTATTTTGTTTCCGTTGAACTTTTTTAAAGTTATTCTTAGTTGGCATCTTACAAGAAAGAAAAGAATTTTCAAAAATAAAAATTGCTGAATCATCTGGATTTTTAACAATTGTTTTCTTTTCCCATAAACGTTGAGATTTTCTTCTTGATACATTTTCACTATTGTTCCATTTAGTTGTATTTGATATGTCTTCTAAAGTTTTATTTAATACTGAAATCTGTTCACTTTCAAGTTTAGGTGAGCATGGTTGTGAAATACTTGCAAGCATATGAGAAGAATTTATATTTTCCAATTCAGTCAATGGATAATTTTCAGTAGCTGAGGACGATTCTAAAATAGTAAAATTCGATTTCTTTGGAATAATAGTATCTTTAACACAACGAGCTCTTAATGCATAACGAAGAGTATTCATTGTTTCTTTCATGCACGTGTCTGCAGAACTAATATATGCTATTAATAATGTAACTGTTTCTTCATTCAGACAATCTTTCAGGACTCGAGTTAATAGCGAATTTCTGTATGGTTTATGAGTTTTTTGATGTTTGTTATTTAAAGAGTTCATTACATGAACCAATGTAAGCAATCCTAAGTTTACTTGAATACCTTCTCTAGATATATTTGGAATTTTACTTTGAGTTATTTCTGATGAAGCCAAGTCCACAAAACAAAGTTTAGATGTACTCTGATTATGATGTATATATACAATAAATATTACATGTGATATATTGGAATGCAAGTAAGTGGTTGTGGAAACAGTATTTCGAATAGTTGCTCCTTTTTCCAACCAACGAAGTGCATCATCTGTACTTGATACATTAATTATGCTCACATCAAGTAACTTTGTTTTATTTGAAAATTCTTGAATTTGAATTTTCTTCTTTCTCTCAGAAAGAAGATCATAAATTTCTTTATTATGAATTTCAATAAATGAAACATCTATGGAAATTTGGACATTTGACATTTCTTTAGCAAAACCAAAAAGATCATTTAAAACATGAAGGATGATTCCTTTATTTTGAATGGCTGAATCAATTCCCATTGTATATGATTCTCCAGTATTTGTTTGACCATATGTCAATATTGTTCCATTACAACCTTTTCTCACTTTTTCCAAGAGTGGTTGTACACTTATCCTATATAATTGTTCTTGTGTGCCTCTCTCATCAAACACATAATCAAAACTAAACTTTTTACCAGAAGGTACCAAAATCTGAGATTTTTCAAACAAAACGTTTATACCGGAAGTGGCACCATCTATTATTTCTTCTGGTAAGAGAGGTTGAACCTGAACTGCAACTTTCACTGGATTAGATTCCTCCATAATAAAATCACAAATCTTCACAGTAAAGTTGATTGTATTTTTTTTGGTTTGAGACAAAATTTATTCATATAATTTTCGGCTTATTCTATTTTCTGCAATAGTTTCTTTGAAACTCTTACTTTCAAATTTTTATTCCGATTCAAATTTCAGTTTAAACGTGTTAAAAAAAATGAATATGTTTTTCTTCATTATCTGGAATTAAATCAATTTTCTTCTTATCATATCCAAGTTCTTTTACAAACAAATGTGCATCGTATCCACTTAAGTTGTGTATAAATACAGGAAAAAATGATGGATTTTGATAAATTAACTTACTGTTTTCGTGTGCAGGTCCTGTATATTTTCCAATTAAAGTTAAAAAGTATTTAATTCTAAAAAGATCGTAGTCTAAACTTACTTAAATATCGCTGCAAATGAAGCAAAACTCGATAAAATGCAATAAATATTTACACGAGTAAACAATCGATCCTCTCTCAACAAGAAAATTTTATTGTTGCGTAGCGATTCGAATTAACGTTAAAAACGGCTATTGTTATCCTCCTGTAATACTAGATATATCAGAAATGGATCAATCATTATCTTACTGAAAAGGCAAAAGATAAGGGCACAGGGTTTGCTAATGTACCAGTGTGCTATCAACGTTCTTCGCATTAATGTATTGTATGCAAAAATTGCGTTTGATACATGCTTGATAATGATACGAGAAGAGCAAGGTTTTGTAGCGAGAGTTACACGATTGTTTGGGTAGTAAAGAAAACGTCATTGCAGCTGTTTGCTGTTGTCAGATAGTCAGGTTTCCTGGGCCGTGTTCAGTAACGCAGAACACTTAAGTTAAAATTCTGAGCATCATTAAACGATTATTCTTAGACAACTAAGTAAAATGGTGGACGAAGTTAAAATTATGGTCGAAAAGGATGAAGTAACCAATAAATTATTCAAATGGAAGCTGCGTCAGATCGTGATGAAATTAATAAAGCAATTATTAATTGTAATCAACAAAATGGACCACTATCTGCCGTTAAAATCTATTCAGAATCTGTTACACCGTCATATGATAATGTTACATTTCGAAGTCATTTTAGAATGAGAGAATAACTTTGTGATTCTTATAATAAAATACGTTTACTCCAACGCGAGCAGCCATCTTGCAAATCGTAGGGCAAGACAAAAACAATGACGTCACTAGTAGAAGTTAGCATAGACAAAAGAAGCTGACTGAACTAGCTAGAATTCTAGTGGTGAAAGGAGTCAAGCAGTAGTTAGAAACGAGTTCAACATCACAGCATAACTAGACTTAGCAAGAATTCTGCGTTACTGAACACGGCCCTGGTGATATGTCTGCGGCCTCCAGAGCCTGATCGCACTGTTTGTCTACTCTGACGTCAGCTCAGAACTTCCGTGAAACAGCTATCCTGCTTCCTCAGTCTAATGATAAAACCTTCTCAAAACTATGTTCGGTAGATGTAATGCCTTTGACTGCACTGAACAGGCATGCGTGGCATTACTGACGTTTAAACATCAAGGAAAAGAAAAATGGGTGGTGCGAATTATTTCAATTCCTGAATGAGTAGTGTATAATTGTCCTTAAAATTGACTGACTAATGGTTTCACATATAAAAGTGAAGGTAGTGTAAACCCGTTAATAGTAGGTGACACTGCGAAAACTAACGTGATAACAAATTATGCCGTTGCTTAGTCAGCAACTACTGTATGTGGTGTCCATAGTACTTTTTGTTTCAACTATAAAGTGAACACTAATAAAAAAAAATATGTTCTTCAATACTTTTAAAATGCTTCATTTTTTCAGTTACATATATATTAATGCAAATTTGAAGCCGAATATTTAATTAAATTTGCTTTACAGTATTTATCTGACTCCTATAATATGATAGATATTACAGTTGTATAGCTATGTACTGAAAACAAGTTAAAACAAAACAAACTGCACATGAGATATTCCTGACATATACAATGCTCTGCTATGTATATGTCAGAATTTCTCACGTTTAGTCCATTTTTCATATTTTGAGCCCTAAATTTCACTTTTATTATAACACACAAGATTAATAGTAAACTTTTGAGTGACGATGAAAGAAGAGAATTCGTAACGTTTTCTAATACAGTATATGTCAAAATGTGGCGTCTGGTAATATAATGAAAAGAGAATATTTCTGCTTAAAATCATTCATTGTTCCAGATGATGTGTTTAACTTGGTAACAATTACATAAAATTTGGTGTAATATCCACTTAGGATCTGTCCAGTCCACATTTGTGTCTTTTCTGGATTCGTGCAAAGGTATTACTTCAGGTTCAACTATAACTTTCTAGCTGTTATAGACAGGAAAAGTATGGCGATCGGTCAGAAAATGATCTCTCAAGATTTTTACACGTTTGGATTCTGGACATCTTAAAATGCCGAGAAATGTAAAAAGAAAAAAAAAAAAATAGAAAGACGGTGGTCGAGTATATATGGATGTTACTGTGTGTTTACTTAGTCTTCGAAAAAAGCTAAAAAATCGCGGCATACTATATGACAACAGTTACTTTATTTTCAATTATATTTACACAAAAATACTAGAAATCACACACTGTGCAATAAAGTATATCTACATAATAAACTAATGGTCATTATGGCCAATCTTATAATGGACTTTAAGTCTATTAAGTCGCTTATTTCCATTAATACATATTCCAGAAAATTCCACTGAGACGAGTCTTGTTCATAACGAAAAATGTATAGAGCTGCAATAAATAAAAAGAATAAATATTACACATGTATACAATATAATCATTAGAAAACACATAGTAGTACTTACATAAAAAATTCTGTATAGTTTAGAAAGCTAGAAATGATAACGAGAAAAAAAATAGCAACATTTTTTTAAAAAATGCATCCATTCATATCTGTTATACGGGTTGAATAATATTTCAAAATGACAGATCCTAATAAATTCTGTAAATAGACGTACACGTTAGAAAATTAACTTAAATAATTATTAATAAAAGCCTTACATTGTTTAACTTTGTTCCAGTAAATATCCATATCCAGCATATAAATACTGTAAATAGAAATTTAATATCTTCGATGGTTATTTCCATTATGTCTAACTTTGTGAAATAAAAATTCATTCGTTGAAAGTACACAGATATATTAGATTAAGCAATAATCGTCTTCATCGTTGAAATTTATACCATCCTGTCTCAACTGGATTGTGATCGTGGATGCAGTATTATGCAAAATACAATTTTATAATCTGCATTATTTTAATTGTGTTCCATAATAAATTGTAGTAAGAATTAATAGAATAAATAAAAAGATTATTTAATGAATATTTGTAAAAAATTCTTTCACTAAATCAAATATATATGCAAACCTTCAAAGGACCTGGAGGATCGTCGTTCGAAGTAAGGAAAAAAGGATCTGGTCTCCATCAATAACGGTAACATCAACATGAATAGAGCAACAACGGACATCATAATCCCCGCTGGAACTGACATGAGTAGGTAATTCATGACGATCATCTGATAAGGTAAAGAAGGTAACACGAAGTAACCCCTTTCTTCCTTAAGTTCGTCCTCGTTTGACGAGTAACACGTGGAGCGAGCGAAACAAAGCAAGATCTGAAAATTAATAGAAAAAGGATTAGGTACGTAACACGATCGAANTTGAATTTTTATTTATTTTTATTAATCGAAATTTATTAAAACTCTTACACCTACACACTTATCAGATTTTTTAGCAATATCCAATGAAAATAGATTTTACAATTATCAAAATACTCTCTCATAAATTACCACAAACTCTCGGCCTTACTCGTTTATACTTAATACTTAAATAAAATTCATTTCACGTTAAATATACTAATTTCTTTACTATTTAAATAGTTATGCATGTTTTCTAATTATTCCGATTTAATAAAAGAGGAAATTCCAATAAATTAATAAACTCTGTAATCTTTGAATGGGAGAAAGTGCGTATTTACATTTTCTTGAATGACAGTTTTCAATATAAGTGGTTCGTCTTAGTAGATGAACCTCTTTGTCCACAGAAGTGTCACAAACATGAACCATGAAAATGGAGACATTCGTTCGCTCTATTTAAGATGGATGAAATTACAGGACCGTGGAAAGCACTTTTTCGAATTTTGAGTATTTTTACCAAATAAAGTACCGTATTTACTCACGTATAATACGAGGCTTTTATTCATTTTTTACTTCTTCAAAAACCTAGGTCGTCCGATACGCGCGAGCGAAGGATTGTTTTCGTTTTTGAAATAATTTCTGTGGACCGTGTTTAGTTCATGTTGTCATTATAGGTCTACAGTCTATTTATCGTAAGTTGGTATTTACTGTAGACAAGTTAAGTAACACCTTCTTTTATCTATTGGTTTAATCCTACGCCCATTAATTAAAAACCGCGTTGCATTTAATCCGTTGGCAGAAAATAGTTACTATTTATTTTTAAAAACATCAATGAAATACAGGTCAATAACTATAACTGTAGTTATTTTGTATTATGTATGGTGCTATTTTTAATGAATATTAGAACATTCTCAATCATTAAAAATAAACTTTGTTTAGTCATGAGCATTATAATATTTTGGTTTTAATCTCCATTTATCATGTATTTAGGCAAACGTTGTTGTTTGCGTTAATACGTGCATTTGATGATAATATAATTGTGATTAAACGAAATACAGTTGTATTAATAAATCTAACTTTCTTTATTTTGATCTCTAAAGTCACACCTCATTTTATACGCAAGATCGTCTCATATTCGAGTAAATACTGTAATTTATTTCATGTGTATAATTACTAAAACACAAGAAATAGACATACTGAACTTTGACACAGAAGACGCACAGAGTCATTCCTCAACTAAGGTTACTTCTATGAAAGAAACAACGAAAATAAAATTGTCAATATTTCCAGCTATTGAAGGCTTTCATATTTGTAATTATCCGTTGGAAGTAAGTGACTGTCAGTGGCATAGCGTAGTGGGGGCGGCAGGGGCGGACCGCCCCGGGCGGCACTTTTTAGAGAGCGGCAAAATTTCACAATAAATAATAATATCTTGTAAAAATTTGAATCATTATACTTCATATTTCCGTCGTACCTATGATTCGGACCGATTAAAATGAGCACGGGGAATAGTGTTACTATCCGTATAGTCCGGGAATCGACTCACCGTCCGGATGAACTATTAATTTTACCCGGCTATGCCGTGCGAAACCTGTTGATTTTTTTTTTGCTTGTACGATTTAATCGTATGTGCATACTCCTTCAATATCCAATACAGCTTAGTCATACGTTGCTCCTACCCAATTCTCCTTAGTCGCTACCTGTAACTGATTTAGAACCGGCATGCACTGCACATTATTTTTCGCATTGCAAAATAATTGTGCTAACGTGCTTTGTGCCAGGATGCAAGGCAGGATATGTCATCGAACGAGAAGAGATATTTCTTCCGTGTTCCTAACGATAAGATTGAGGAGTGGATGCGATGCATTCCACGAGACGACAAGATGCTAACAAATAAATGTTACGTTTGTGACGTACATTTTGCGAGTAGATTTATTTTAAAAACCTTCTCCCATGTTATAAATGGAGAGAAAGTAGAAATTCCACGAGATCGCTGGGCATTAACGTCGGATGCATATCCATCAAACTTCCCTAATTGTCCTAAGTACATTAGTAGGTCTGTACCTCAAAAACGATCAACGCGATGTCTCACAAGAAATGAAGAACCATCTAGGAAGGGATCACAAAAAGACAATACCAAAGGTAACTATTTATGGTTTTTATGTAATCTTAATCCTCAGTGAGTCATGTAATTTTTTGCCTTTGCCTGAGTCGTAGTGCGTCTCTCGGACCCTGTGTTTTAATATAAAATTAAATTTTATCTATCTATTTTATCTATATTTAAGGAACATTTTATATTTAAAAATTAAGTAAAAATTGAGCTGGGTTTGTGAGATCCACTGTGATTCACTGAGGGCTATCTCTCTGTGGCCCATCTTTCCTCATAAATATTTTAAGATTAATTGCCTGATATTTTTCTTATCAATCATTAGATTTGCATGATACACACTCCCAAGTAACAACTGTAGAAAAGGAAATAGAAGAATCCTCCACATCTGAAGCAGCAACTACACAGCATTCTGAGTTGTTATATGTCAATAAAATCTCTGCTTTGCACTCTGAATTGTTAAAAGTCAAAGAGGATTTATATCGGTGCAGAAAGCAAAAGATGATCTATAGGAAGAAACTGAAAACTCTTCAAACAGAAAATCTCAAGCTTCAAGAAAATACTGAACTTAAAACAGTTGTCGGCTGATAAACTTGATTCCTTACCACTGAGACAGAAACTTGTAATAGAGCACATGCTGAAAGCATGCCATATAAAAAACAAAAAGGGTATGAGATATGACATTAATTGGTTACTTGACTGTTTGCTTGTAAAAATTAGGTCACCATCTGTCTATGAATTTTTGAGAAATAATGATTACTTGCCTTTATCCTGTCAGTCTACACTGCATCAATATATCTGCTCTTTTTGATACTTTAAATCGTAGATTGCCACAGGAAGGAATCAGACATGATTCAAATGATATCAAGGTAATAGTAATGATTCACTAGGAAAAACTATAAATGTTTTAATTAACAACTTTTTTAAAATAGGTTATTGAAGAATCTCTTAGAGTGGTTAAATAGATGGGAAGCATTCAGATTACAGATTAAAAGCACTGATCAAAAGGGATTTTTGAGCCACCAGACAGCAGAAAATCTACGCTTGACGCTGACTAGTATCTTAGCACTCGTCAAACAATTGCTTCCAAACTCATATTATATCCTGACAGCTCACTTTAATCGGGACCCATTAGAGGTAAAACTGTCTTAGTTTAATGATTATATAATCTTGTATTATACTCTTAACTTATGTTTTCTTTTCAATTAGCGTTTCTTTGGAATGATAAGACAAGGAAGTGGAAGCAGTTCTCATCCCACAACAGTACAGTTCTTATACCTGTACAGACTGATGACTGTGTACAGTTTGGTTCATCCTCCCAAACGAGCATCAGTTCAAACTGATCCTGGATCTATCCTTATTACTTTAAAAAATCTTCTTCGTAGTCATAAAAAGCCATTTAAAGAAGTTCAAGAACAATTGGAAGAACATTTAGAAAATTTGCTTTGTGATCCAAGCCTATACTATGAAGATCCTAGTGATAGTGAATTGTAATCATGATCATGATTACAATTCACTATCACTAGGATCTGGTGTACAATAATGGATCTGGTGTACAATAATCATGATCACTAGGATAGTGAATCCTAGTGATCATGATTATTGTACACCAGAAACATTTAAGTTTATCCTACATTATTTAGGAGGTTACATTGTTTATCATCTACTGCCATCACTCGGTTGTGACGAATGCAAAAATACATTAACAGCAAAATCTGAGGACGCTTCACCAGAGAAGGCATTTACATTCATCAAACATCCTATTCAGTTGAAGTTAATAATATATGAAAAAATAAGTAATAATATATATATAATTGTAAACAGAGTCATTCTATTAATTAGGAATTAAGACCGTCATATAATAAACGAAAAATGTTGAATGAATTTGATGATATGATTGGAGATATGTTAACATTGGAAAAAGAAAGTGATCCAATAGAAAATTATCTGAGTATTATAACTAAATTAGAGGAATATAGATACAAAAATTGTATACAACAAAATGGAAAAATATTCAAATGTGAATGGTATGATAGTACATGTTATGGCTACAAAATTAAAAAACAAAAGTGTTTACAAATCTTTAGAAGAACAAATACCAGTAAAGCACTAATGAATTATTTAAAGTATAAAAAAATGTATAACAATCTAATTAAAGCCAAGAAAAAATTATATTCTTCAAAAATCAGTAAGAAACTATCAGAAGTTAATGATTCCAGAGCTTTCTGGAGAATAATTAATAGTTTTCGTAAAAGAAAGTTAGGGGTTGGAAAAACAGACTAGAGTAGAATATAGCGTTTGGCTTAAATACTACAATAAATTCTCTGAGAGTTATCAGAAAAATGTTTGTAAAAAATATATGGGAACTAACACAAGACCTGAAATTCAGCAAGATGAGATAATCAAGATGGAAGAAGTACAGGATTGTATCAAAAAACTTAGACAAATCAACACCGGGATAGGACACAATACCAAATTCACTCATCAAAATGTTTCCAATAGAAATCATAAGATATTTAACTAGACAATTTAATCAATTTTACAGTAACAGTATAATACCGGCAAAATGGAACGAAGTTATTTTTACTATGATATTTATACAAGGGAACAAACAGGAACCAACCAATTACAGACCAATAGCCCTGCTGTCCTGTCTACGGAAAGTGTTCATTGCAATATTAGCTAATAAATTTAATTACTGGACAGCGGCGAATAAATATAGAAATAATACACAATTTGCATTTGTAGAAGTGGGAGGTACTCAGACAGCCCTCTTTGTGTTGCTGTCATTAATTCAAATCCAGTTGCTTAAAAAAAGACAGTGTTTGCCCTGTTTGTGGATCTCGAAAAAGCATATGATATGATTAGCATTACTGATCTACAGAGTAAAATGAAGAGATATAAGGCAAAAGAACTCTTGATAAATATGATAGGACTGTTATTCGGAAAATATAAGACAATTATTAAACAGGATACTAATATCTGGACACCATTCATCACTTAGAGGTCTATTACAAGGTGATCCGTTATCCCCATATCTTTTCAATTTTTACCTATTTGATCTAAATGAATGTTTTAAGAGATGATGGGTTTCAAATTGAAAATCAGATTATACATACTATATCGTATGCTGATGACATTGTGTTGATAGCTCCTGCAGCAGCTGCACTCCGTAGAAAAATCCAACAAATCTGTGAGTATTTAGAAAAGTTAAGAGTTAAAATAAATTCCAAAACATCAACAATTATGATATTTAGAAACGGAAGTAACGTATCTAAAAAGCACGTGTCTTTTTTATTAATAAAGAAGTGAAGGTAGTGAAGAAAATTAAATTTTTAGGAGTAACATTCACACCTAATCTCTCGTTCGAAAAACACTATAAAAATTCACTAAATAAAGCAAAAATTGCAATAAATAATTTAATTGGACTATTCTGCAAGGCAAAAATAAAGAATTTACGTACACATTTTCAACGTTTTAATTCGATAGTGATGAATTCAATGAGCTATGCGGCCCCAGTTTGGAGCATGGAAGAAAAATTCAACGACTGAAAAAATACAGAATTTATTTATACGTAAGATATTCCAGCTGGAATATAATATCCCGGGTAGTGCTTTAAGATTAGAAACAAATAGATTAAGGTTAAATACTATACTAATAAAAAGATATTTAAGGTTCTTACTCAAAATTATTAAGGCAGAAGATATAACAACAAAACTGCTGTTCGTACTATATCAGAAATTAAGTGAAGACGAAGTTGGATAATTCAGCTATCGAAGATAATAAATAAATATGGATTTTCGATTAAACTTTTCGTGGACCGTACATATAATATGGAGCAATATAGTAAAGATATAATATATAGAGTTATGGAATACTCTACTATCCAAGACATTGAAGATATACGAAAACGAGAAAGCACAACTATATACTGACAAATATAGCTTTTAACATTAAAAAGTTTTTTATACAGTTTAGATTAAATAAAAATGGAATAAATATAAATGGTAAATATATAGACTACAACCAATGTAAATGTCCAAACTGTACCAAAAATTTATCTAGAATCCATATTTTATGTGAACATTGTAATGAAAAGGACAAACTTCAAAGGCTCCAGATTGGGCCAATGTACTAATGAGTTGGAAATGTATAAGACATTCGATAGAGCTAATGTAAACACGATTTATATGTTATATAACTATGTTAAACAACTAACTAAATAACAATTGTGGTAAAATATTAATATAATTCTATAGATTAACAAATAGAAAAAACTAAAGCTGTTAAGATAATATTAAATGAAATGTTAATGTGCGTTTTTAAAACGCCCTTGTAACAGGCGAAAGCCTTCTACGACAATAAATAATTTCAATTTCATTCATGAAACACAGAAAAATTTCTCACTTAAAGTAAGTTTTAATAACGCAAATAATAATAATAATTATTATTATTAATATGTATAATATAATAAATTTTTAACGTATAATAAATTGACATAATAGCACAATTTAATAATAGTACTGTTGTGTCGTTTTGTTCCTTGTCATTTATTTAACTAAATATCAAACTCAGCGTTTTTAAAACACTTAATAAAACATCAAACACCTTCCATCGCTGAGAAATGTTGATTTAATAAAACACTAACATTTTCAGCCTCGTGGAATAAACCATCCTCGGGTGTAAATGAGTTCGAACGTATTTTATTAAATAAACATTTCTCAGCGATGGAAAGTGTTTGTTTTATTAAGTGTCATTTATTTATTCATAAACTTGGTTTTGGGTTTAAATAAAAGCTTTTTCATTCTTATAATAAAATGCATATAAAAAATGATGAAATCTAACTCGAACATTATATATCTTTCAATAAAAAGAAAACATTCGATCTAGCGCTCTTGCAGTGAAAAACAATTAGATCGATAGTTATGTGAAATAAACAGAGGGTTACGGTTAAATTCTAATGACCACTTAATGTGCACAAGATCGTGAGATCCGATCTCTACATCTAAGGAGGAGTATAAAAAGATTTATTTGAAGATGGAGAGAGACAATCGTATAATCCGGTCTCCTGTCTGGATTCCCAACACCAGATAATCAATTCTGCGGATTATCACAAATTGCGAAGAATTTCGAGTTAGAGGGTCGCATGTGAATGGAGTGGATGAAGACGTTGGATTTAGTCATTAAGGAGACCATATTAACAAATAACATTTAATTGAATCAAACAAAATAGTAATACAATTAATTAATGGGATTACAAATGATACAATCTAGATCTATCTCGCAGAGAGATCTACTATTTAGCTTAATCTTAAATTAACTAACCTAGACACGTGAGTGTGTGTATCTATACTCGTGAGAAAGAGTTACATCAATCTAACGAATTATAAAAGATAAAGATATCCCTCTTGTTTCGTTGCCATATCCCATCAAACCCCTCAAGCTATTGTGACCAAAGATAATGTGTACGAATAATAAGAAAAGCAGAAATCGTATTCTTTATTAACAATGAATTACGCAAAGGATACAAAAAAACAGATGAAGCATCCCAGGGCCGAATGTGTTATTTAAGGTAATATAATCACTTTTACGATTATAATTTATGGAATTATACGATATCAGGAAGATGCAAATCCTCTTATCTGCCTCCTCTGCAGACTCCTTATGCGCATATATCACAATTTTAAACGGATGTAGATCCGGCCATTACATAAGAGAAAACAGAACAAAACATAAGTTGTTATATTTCCGTTCTTTTATCCATTTAATACCCAGTAGGCTAGTTATTGAATTTCATTATATAAATATTTATTACGGTACATCTTATTATAACGTACACATAGAGAACGACTCTTTAAACCTGTTCATGATATTTGCGGCATGTCTGAAGGCGATGTATTTGATACCTTCAGTATTATTCTGTAACTGTTGAAAAACTTGTAAAGTTTATGTCACATTTTTAAAATTTAATTTTGCACTTTTAGTATATCAAATTATCTATCGTTATTTATGTCCTGATTTCACAAAAATAATTCTTAACTATAATAAAGTACATAAACATTAAGTGTATTTAAAAGAAATACATATTTTTAAAGCTTTTAAATGAGCAATGAACGGAAAATTATTTAAAATCTAAGTCCGAATGACATTTTTTATACATTTTCTCTACGACCCTGCGGAAAAGTTCGCCTACCATCAACCCTAAAACTCCAATTTTCTTTCATGTCACGTTCACTACACTTTGCGACGATTTAAGTTTCACAACGAACAATCAAAATAACAACCGTCGATTAGAAGAAGGTGCGTTATCGTTAGTAATAATTGATTCGATTTTAATATGGAATAACAGTATTCATTTACTACAGCGATTCCGGATTGAAATTCGTGAAACGACAGACATAGTCAGAGGAAAAGAAAGAACGTAGACGTTTAGCAGAGAGTGGTTTCGATCCACAGACCTCTGGGTTATGGGCCCAGCACGCTCCCACTGCGCCACTCTGCTTCTTACAAACGATACAAACTGTCGTCCTCTCATACTTTCTACATAAAGTACAGTGAAAATAAATCTCTGCCAATAATGTAAATATAATCTGAAATTTTACATAATGTAACGACAGGAACTAACAGCAGCTCCAACTAACATAAATCGGTGTTTAATTTCACACTTTTAAACTCGGATGAAAAAGTGCAATGTACCAAAACTAGTGGAAACACAAGTAAAATGTCATTTAATTTAACGGCCTTGCACATTGGAATCTACTGTAACACCTGATGAGACTCGTCCTTTTGTTAATCCCACAAAACGTTAAAGAAACAAAATTGTTGGATGTAGCCTACGATAATTTTCTATAGTATACTGGTAGACCTATCGGCTTAATTATTTCTTTTATTGACGGATCGTCCAATATAAACACGCTCACTGCAATGAAGAGTCAAGTCAAAGAAAACGCTCAAGCTCATGCTAAAGAAGATGCTAAACGTAATGTGCAATAAGTGAAGAGCTAAAGACTGAAACTGTGGGCGTGCCATGACGTTTGATGATAGAGAAGCTGTGTTTTTGTAACAAGCCGACTTCCAGGGGCAATCACTCAGCGATGGTCTAAGGCAGGAATGTCCAACCCGCGGGCCGCATGCGGCCCAAGGCAAGTTCCAATGCGGCCCAATAAACGTGTAAACAAAACCGACAAATGTTTTAATTTTTTATTATTTATTTATTTCAACGGCATAAACTCAAAAAAAGTTTCACAAAGCCATAAACCTTTATTCATATTTTATTTTTGAGTGGAAAAAAATATTTTCAAATACAGTACTTTGAGATGTGTGAATGCATAATGATTACTAAATGAAGCTGGAGTTGTGACTCAAAGGATTATAGACCCAAATTTGGGAAAAGGATGTGAAGATCAGAAAGGACAAAAAATGTAGTAGTGAGAAACGTTAAATGGATCTTCTGTTAAACAAATAGAGAGTCCTTAGGAACCCGTAATTTTTCAATTTTTTTCACTTCTTTATCTTTTGTCTTTTGCCTCTTTTTTCCCGCACTTGGGTCTATAATCCTTTGATTCACAGCTCCAGCTTTATTTAGTATTTCTTCCAACGTTGCAAGATTTGGCTAATTGGGCCAAATGTGGCTACTTTTTTTTGCTTCACGTAAAAAATATCATTTGGCGCTTTGGCTACTTTTTCAGCTACATATTATTTATAATTATATTAATTGAATAAAAATGCACTTGAAAATGATGTTTCATCGCTTTTTATTAATTACAGACCCAAATAAAACAAATATTTGTGTTTTTCAAATAAATTTTCTTTACTCTCTTTTATAATAAATGAATTTATCTATTTCAAAGTAAAAACTGAAAGTGTCTGTAGAAGTAATTTTTTAAAATATCCTTTTTTCTTGATAAAGTTTTAATACTTATTATTATAATCTAGACGTGTTAATTTTTAAATATACTTGTATATTGGGCCACAAGTATATATCTATACTAATATTATAAGGAGGTAATATTTGTATGTATGTATGTAAGTTTGTTTGCAGCAGGTAATCTCCGAAACTACTCATCCGATTTCAAAAATTCTTTCACCGATATTTAGAACGGAACCTCAGGGTGGACATAGGCTGTATATCATTCCGTTAAACATTCATATAAATTAAATGATATCATCTATGGTTAATGCTTTTATGTCCAACAGATGGCGCTACGAGTATGATGCCCTAAGTTTGCTTTTCTGCGAGGCATTACGCTTTTCTGTGAAAATGAACTAAAGCAGATCATCTTCTATCTATCTATATAAATAAAAATGTAATGTTCGTTTGTTCCTACCGATTCCTTTGAAATTTTCACACAACGCTCCATTCGAATACGCACGTGTTTTTATATAATATACGTGTCGAAATCCCCGCCACTGAAGAGAGATAGTTAGGATTAAGACTTACGGTAAGGAACTCTGCTTCTATTTATACTATTTTAGATGCGGGTTTTTGCGTTTTTGATTGCGTTTTAATAGGGTACGTCAAGAGAATGTACACTAAGAAGAAATATTTCGAAAAATTCCTCCCCACGGGGGAAGTGTTATACATTTATAATAGATACATTTTGAGCCTCAACAACGCGTGCCGAAGTCTGCTAGTTAAAAATAAAATTATAAAAACTTACTTGTTAAAATAAAATGTGTGATCGATATACAATTATACATACCTGGTACAAAATATTCGATTGTATGAATATACTTTTGTGAAGAAACGTACATAAAAATAGCATAAGATATTCTTTACTTTTTAAATATTAAAACAATCCACTTAGTTAAAAGTGCTCCCTATCAGTGACTCGTGGATGGAATCAGAGACGATCTTGGTAGGTGTGCAATGCGTGCATGCATGCCAAATCCCGAGGGTGCCATACCGGTTAACGTCTTTTGTCGTATCACTAGTATTTCTCAAAGGAGGCGACAGGGTTGTTGTAAATTTTAAACGTTTCTCATCATAGCTGTAAAAATCTAAATACGTTAAACTTAATAGATTGTCCGTCTTTTGTTTTCTAACTTATTCATTTTAGGACCAGGTGTTGTTTACTGAAATTTCCAAAATGTACAACTTTTCGGTCACTCTCGTCGAACTGGAATAATTTCTGTCTTTATTACATCTAATACAGTATTTCGAAGAAATCGGTCCCCACTGTACTCGGCTATAGATTGGTTCGGTTAAGCTTTTGTTTAAGTAATATTCCGGCTCTTTCGTCAGGGTTTTGTTTACGTCCCCAATTCCCTAATCGCTTAATTATTTAACTACTTCTTAAGTAGAAATAAGTCGAAACAGGTTACTTTGTACTCGAATATTTGTAATCTAGGGAAAAAAGTGGAAAGACAAATTTTTATGACAAACGGATACATAAATCGTAAATTTAAGGAAAATAAATTCTAGAATTTTTTCTGTACCTGGTGCATCTCTCTCATTTATTAAATTTAGTTGTAAATGACGCTGTCGAAGTAACAGTTAATTTTTTAACATTATACGAGAATTGTACACGTTTTTTTCTACACTCCCTTAAAGATGGGACATACGAAATCGTAATATCACTGGTTTAACATCAAAATCCGCGAGTAATATAAAATCGGAGAACGGAAAAAAACATCGAATATTTTAATGGATTTTTTTAACTCCCGTCGACTATACAGAACTATCGTAAAAACATACCAGTAAATTCTTATCCGTTGGGTTAAGTTATAAATCTACTCGTTATTCGCGTAATCGGCCAAATATCTAGCGGGCGGGCGGCTAACAACCCGGAACGGGTCCCGGATAGAATTGGAAGCGTTGGAATGTGTAGCATCAACTCAAGGTCATAGGCTTCGGCTAAACCGGGTGAGGTTGGTGCTCTGTAAAGCGCGTGCGCGAATCTGGCTTTTTGGAATCTGACAATAGAGATTCCACTCCGCCACTAATATTCGAATATACAATAGCAATCTTATTTTTTTTTCACGTGTAGTATAGAAATTTGTAATAAGATACATGATGCGGTTATTATAACATATTGTGCGATTATTTTCATGTAATTAAAATTAATATGTATTTATTTTTATAAAATACAAGGAAAACGGCGCTTCCATCGCTTCTAATGACGGCACGCCACTGATTAAAGTCCGTGAAACGACAGACAAAGTCAGAGAAAAAGAAAAAAAAACTTAGCAGAGACTGGTTTCGATCCACCGACCTCTGGGTTATGGGCCCAGCACGCTCCCACTGCGCCACTCTGCTCTGTACAAACTGACAAGCTCTCTTCCTCTCATACCTTCTACATAAAGTACAGTGAAATTAATTCTCTGCTACTAATATAAATAATGATGATGAATATCTGAAATTGTACACAATGTAATGATTAAAACTAACAGTAGCTCCAACTAGCATAACTTGGTGTTTCTAATGTCCAGGGCTGTGGAGTCGGAGTCGTCAAAAAATCCGCCGACTCCGACTCCCCTTTACTTACCAACTTGTTATGTATATGAAATGGAGTCGGAGTCGGATGGTAAGGAAAAGTCGGAGTTCGAGTCGGTAGATTTTTACGCGACTCCACAGCCCTGCTAATTTCACTCTTTTAAACTTGGGTGAAAAACGTGCAATGTTCCAAAACCAGTAAAAACAAAAGTAAAATGTCCTTTAACGGCCTTGCACGTTGGAGACCACTAACACCTAAAGAGATTTTACCTTTTCAAAATCCCACAAAACATTAAGGTAAGATTTTTGGATGCAGCCTACGATAATTTTCTATAGTATAGACCTATCGGCTTAATTATTTCTTTTATTGACGGATCGTCCGGTATAAACACGCTCACTGCAATGAACAGACAAGTGAAAGAAAACGCTCAAACTCATGCTAGAGAAGATGCTAAACGTAATGTGCAATAAGTGAAGAGCTAAGGACCGAAACAGACATCTTTTATGACGATGATTCTTCTCTGCATTTGCATCACGATGACGACAATCACTTATTATTATTTTTTTATTATCAATCCATCTCGATTATATTATAAGATCATGTGTCTACTTTTCTTTATATTTTGTGGTCTAAATGTAAAAATATTCAAATATTGTCTCTGTCAAATTTAACGATACACATTATCGACGCACATTAATTTTATTGATTCAAAGAATAAAACATAAATGTTAACGATTTTAATACGTTCAATAAATTTAACAATTCGGCCTAAATAAGTTAAAGCACAAACAATTTATAACACAAAACATCACACGAAGATAATTTTAAAAATTTTTTTCTTTTAAGCTAATTTTCTTAAATTTAAACAACACGCGGATCAACTCGATCGTTCCAGAAGAAATATAAAAATGTCTTTAAGAGATTGAAAAAAGGCCAAGCACTTCCACAAGTTACGCTTTTACGGTTATAACAATTATTATAAGTCCACAGAAAATCTGTCGACAAAACTTTAAAAGCATTCGATCGCTTCCAAAATGAACTGCGGGTTGCGTGCAGATTTATGAAAACGTCGGAACTCTCCTGTGACGAAATTCTTGTTGAAAAGATAACATGCTTTTATAAACACGATTTCGTCGATGGTTTTTCAAATCATTTCTTTTTTCAATGCACCAAGCAAATTTGTAATAAATTCTTATTTAACAGCGTAACTGATACAATTCATTTCTTCTCACACACTAACTTAATAAGGAGAAATTTTCATAATATTCAACGAATAAGAAGCGAAAAAAAAGAAGATAATTGGTCCTCTTCGCAGTTTCTCCTGAAAAAATATTAATATTATCATTCTTTCCTTAAAAACATTATTATTTAAAATTAAAATGCAAAAACTTGTTGATATTTTTAATTTATTTTATAACCATTTTTCTATAAATAATAAACACATTTTGATAACATTCAAAGAATTGTTTTGCATCCGATGTACGAACTAACGGCCTCTGCTTGGTCAACATTTTTTATAGATCTATCGATCTGTATTTCTCAAACTCTAGGGATTTTAAATTAGTTTTGAAAAATTGGCCCAGTGTTCGCAATGTTTCATAATATAAGTTGTTTTAAGTTTTATTATGAAATAAACCAACATTATTTGTGTTATATCAAAATAAAAACATTTTAAACTATTTTAGAAAACCTAGTTTATAGACACGCAGTCACATTAATATAGAATACTCTTTATATGTATGGTGGTATGCAGACGTCACTCTATTTTGATGGAATCAATGGAATTCGATGGTTTGGAAACCCGAGCGCAGCTGTAGATACCGTATATTAAACTTTTATGTAGAACACTCCACGGTGTTATAATTTTTTCGAACGTATGTATTATAACTATTCTAATTAAAAGTAAACCCTCATAACTCTCGGAAAGGAAATCTGCTGCATAGGTTACACAGTAAACTCTTACAGCTTAGCAATAACTGTATCGTAGCATTATTTGTTATTTAAATACGAAATTTCCTATAATTAATACAGTAAAGCCTATTTATGAACAATAGCCTCTGGAAGCTTCTGCTTTGGCAAGTTTTTTTTATTTACTAAATTTACTAAACGAGACTGTGGGCGTAAAAATGTGTTGCGTCGTCACAGCTACTTTCCAGACACGAAAGTGCCGTCTTAGCGAAGAAATTATTACGTTGAATTTGTAACTGCATTTACTACAAAATCTCCATTAGTTCGAGATCGAAAATTACACTTAATTATTCAGAATAAAGCCGCTGTTACATCGAGATATGAGGCATTAATAGACGTTATAAAATACAAATAAACATCGGCGAGCCGTTGTATCGAATTCCGCAAGTTACTGCTGGTTGTTAGGGCAAATAGGTAAAAATTATGTAAGAATGAAACACTCTTTTTTACATAATGTAAATGACATTCGTGTGAGGATGACTGATGAATGTAGAAAACCGTAAAGAATGAAGCTTTTCTCTAAGTGTAATATTGCTTTCCATTTTTTACTCTAAACGTCTAACACTAAGACAACTAACTTTATCGGTCAGTGTTTATTTCAGGACGTCGCAGCATGTGATTTCGTTGGAATACTGATATAATGACGTCGTGTTAATTTAAATTGAGTGGTATTTTGTGTGAACCTTTACGTGTTTAAGAAGTAATTGACATAACGTGCTATATAAATTAATTTTTATCAAAGAAACGTAAGGTAAAAATTAAAATTCACACAATACTTTACATACCTTATTAAATTTCGACCACTTTACTTTTTTCGTTTCAAACACGGACACCACAGACGGAAACTTGCGAAGAAAATGCCAAAAAATGTCCATGCGGCTTGTAGTTTCCTAGAAATAGTATCCATATTAATTAAAAGAATTTCAAATATAAAATTCTAGTTATTTCGATTACAAAACAATTTTATATAATTGGTTATTTAATCACGTAAACGAGTATAAAATTTGGTATTGAAAGACAGAAGATGTTATTTCTAAGGAAATTAAGTGACTTTAGTGATTTCCATTTAATATTTCAATTTTTACAATGCGAATATATAAATTATTTTAAAACTGAAAACATAAATTTTACTCTCATTTAAGTTTATTTAACAATTTCAGACACAGAGAAACATCGAAATAAAATTAAAAATATATATTTAGCAAATGAGAAAATAGTTTTATTCGTCTAAACCAGTGGTTCCCAATTAGTTTTTCCTGCGTACCACTTCAAGAAAGAGCTGAAACTCGCGTGCCCCTTATAGCAGAAATTCATATTAATCCATACTAATATTATAAATTCGAAGGTAATTCTGTCTGTCTGTTACCTTTTCACGTCTAAACCGCTGAACAGTTTTTAATAAAATTGGGCACAGAGATAGCTTACATGTTGGAGATGGACATAGGCTACATTTTACTGCGAGAAAATATCTTATTCCCACGAGAAAATTCGATATAATGCGGGAGAAGCTGTGGGTAGACAGCTAGTGATAAAGAGAATAAGTTTTTTTTTTTACATATATTATCTTCAAAATACAATTGTAATAATAATAATGAAAATAACATAAGGTTATTTAATTTTAACGTGACAAATGTGCACGATTTTCTTTGCACAACTTCGTAAAATCTGGTTGCTTTTTGGTTAGCTTCAGTCTCGAGTCATCTTCGAGTCGAAGTCGGTGACGATGTTTAGTTTTCGTGTTTGTCATGGCCGAAAATCCTCTCTCGCAGAGGTATGTTGTGCAAAATGGTGGTAAATATTTTATTGCCACTTCACTGACAATAATGTTAACTGTACAATTTTTGTTTCTTGCATAAGAATTTCATTTAGGTATTGTCACAAATGCATTTTTTGATGAAATTTCGAGAATATTTTTAGTTATAAATTAACGAATTTGTGCATTCGACATCGTGTGGTAAATTGCCGAATTTTTACGATCCATCCATTATTATTTTTTTATTTTTTATTTTTTTTTTTTTGCTTTATCTCATGCATTTAAATTTCAAATCGACCGATTTAAAATTGCCGCGCGTACCCCTTCATGCAATTTCGCGTACCCCTGGGGGTACGCGTACCACTAATTGAGAACCACTGGTCTAAACTAATGAAATGTAAAAAATAATTTCTCACTTTTTTGTATTCTTCAATGGATTCGTCTTCGGATAAAGATCTATCATCCTCAGTTTTTCTATCTTCGCATTCAGTTAAGTATTGAAACTCCTGTTTTTGTTTCTGTTTGTCATCGTACACTAAAATAAAAATTTACACTTCGTTATTTTTCTTTAAATTGAGTTATAATAACAACAGTATATTTTTATTTCTAATTATGCTTTTCCAATAGTACAACGATTCCTTTTTCTGCTTTGCACGAGTCAAAATGATTCTCAAAACTTTACAATTGGCGTAAAGAAGAAACCACGCCGTTATTTATAAGATTTACATGCAACCTTCATCCATAGTAAATACTCATTCAAAAATAAATTGTATTTTTTAAAATATTAAATAGGAAATGTCGAAAACCACAGGTTAATTCAGTGAATTGCATCTTTGTTCTTGTCCGCATTAATGACACGAACATCAATATGATATCGTTTTGATACAATAGAAATTTTATTAAAACAATATTCGAATTATTTTTTCATGTCACAATGCTACAGATTCTTATTTTACATTTATATTATATGTACAGTTACTGTACATCTAATACACAAAATTTGGTTAACAATATTCTTAGTGTAGTGAAATTATATAAAATATAAATATTCAGATCATACGAAATAATTTTGTTAAATGTATACTAATTGCATATTGAATTTTTTGATGTTGCATTACACTTGGCTAGTAGCGTATTTCGAATAATAGTAATCTCACCTCTCTGAAATTTTTCACTTTTAGTGGATTCAATGACTTGTAGTGATGTTGTATTCATATTATTAACAAAGTTTTCTTCATCAAAGTCATCTTTCGTGGAAGATATTGATGACACTTCACTTTTAACATTCATTTGTTGAATTTCGTTAATGGAGTCGACGACGACAGCATTGAAAGGTTCACTGTCTTTTATTTCGCAATCTGCGTGGATGGAATCGTCGTCTTCTGATGATGCATTTTCGGATTCAAACTCGTTTTCTTCATAAATGATTTCATTTACAAGAGAAAATCTTTCTAAATTTATAAAAGCCCATTTTAACGGTCTGTGAATGTAGATGTCGTCCACCGTTTCCGTGAATTGTTCCGTAGAATAATCAAAATCTTCATTCTCATGCTCATAGAAATTCTGTAAAATAACGAAAAATAAATATTTCTAAATTTGGAATTTACTTTAAAAATGTTAAATCTATATTCAGCAATTTTATTGCAAATTAATGTATTAAAAATCGTATTGCGTGTTTAATGAAAACATGGAGACTAGAAAGTGATTCTGATTTCTGTTAGGAACAATATTCAAGTACCAAAATATTTTTTAATTAATTGGCATAAAATTTATTTAATAATAAATAAATAACTTGCATCCTATTTCAATAATACATTACTCTAATATATTTTTCTGTGATAAACTTTAAAGGATGTAAGAATTATTTAGTATTAATTTAATCTATCAGCTTGCGTTAGAAGAAAATCCTTCGTCGTCGGAAACATCAGAAATTTCAGAAATTTCGTCGATTTTTCTTTCTCGATTTCTAATTGAGGGTATTTCTGGTTGGATAATTTCAGTAATTCTTGTATGTTTGGTGAAATTTCCTGCATTATTCTAATCCAAGTGGGAAGAGTCAGTTTGACTTGTGTCTTCGACATCACTTGAAGAATCAGAAACTAAAGTATAAAAGAAAACAGAGTAATTATTAAACTAGGTTAATTCAAATATTATATAACAATATTTTAACGTATATTTAGAATATAATTTTATAGCAAAAACTAGATATTTATAAATATAAGAACAATAGATATTCGGTGTGTTTAAAAAGAAACGCGCCAGAGAATTT